GAGACGGGGTCTCATCATATTGGCCAGGCTGTTCTCAATCTCCTGACCCCAGGTGATCCACCTGCCTCGGCCTCCCAAAGTGCTGGGATTACAGGTGTGAGCCACCACACCTGGTCCATTCTCTCTGTCTTGTTCTCTCTCCTTATTGCTCTTGTTCTCTCTCTCTCTCTCTCTCTCTCTCTGTATATCTCTACCTCTCCATCTCACTCTGACCCTCCTGCCTTCTTCTCTTAAGAACTTTTGTAATGACATTGAGTGAAAGTCGCAGTGAGCCGAGATCATGCCACTGCACTCCGGCCTGGGCAACAGTGAGACTGTCTCCAAAAAAAAAAGGGGGGGGGGGTCCTTAACTGAATTCCATCTGCAAAAGTCCTTTTTGTCATAGAAGGGAACTCATCCATCCATGGGTTTTAGAGATTAGGATCTTGGGTCCTGGTGGGAAACTGAGGACCCAAGACTCCAGGCACCCTTCAAACCCACCGAGGTGACGGAGGCTATGAGGTCTGCCCTGCAGTGGCCCTGAAGGCAGGGGTGTGAGGACAAGAAGGGGAAGGGTGCAGAAGAGGAAATCAACAATTCTGCCCAAGCAACTTGCAAAAGTCTAACGCCTATGACTTCCTCAGCAGAGGGGAATGCAAGGGACTCTCAAGATTAAAGAAGTCAGCGGAGGAGTGGCTACAGAAAATCACTTACTGCCACACAGAGTTCCAGGAAGGGGTAGGGAAGCTGGGGAATCCCTACCTAACTTGACCCTGCCCTGCTTAGACTCTGTATGCTTCCATAGCTCCCTATGGCCCTCGGAATGAAGTTCAGACTTATTAATATGGCACTCAAGGCTCTATCTAGTCTTACTCCCGTCTCCCTGTCTTGTTTTATGGACCTCCACTTCCCCCAAAACCCTAGTGATCAGCTAGGCGCAGAGGCTCATGCCTGTAATCCCAGCACTTTGGGAGATCCAGGCAGGAGGATTGCTTGAGCCCAGGAGTTCAAGGTCAGCCTGGGCAACATAGTGAAACCCTGTCTCTACAGAAAAAAAAAATGTTTTAATTAGCTGGGCATGGTGGCTGGTGCACGCCTGTGGTCCCAGCTACTCAGGAGTCTGAGGTGGGAGGATCCCTTGAGCCCAGGAGTTTAAGGGCAGCTTGAGCAACATGGCAAAACCTTATCTCTGCAAAAGAAAATATTAATTAGCCAGGGTGGTGGTGCATGCCTGTCATCCCAGCTACTGGGGAGGATTGTTTGAGCCCAGGAAGTCAAGGTCACAGTGAGCCATGATGAAACCACTACACTCCATCCTGGGCAACAGAGTGAGACCCTGTCTCAAAACAAAAAACTAAAATCAAAACAAAAACAGGCTGGGCACGGTGGCTTATGCCTGTAATCCCAGCACTTTGGGAGGCTGAGGCAGGTGAATCACCTGAGGTCAGGCATTTGAGACCAGCCTGTCCCACATGACAAAACCCCATCTCTACTAAAAAATACAAAAAATTAGCGGGGCATGGTGGTGGCAGGTGCCTGTAATCCCAGCTACTCAGAAGGCTGAGGCAGGAGAATTGCTTGAACCTGGGAGGCAGAGGTTGCAGTGACCTCAGATCATGCCACTGCACTCCAGCCTGGGTGACAAGAGCAAAACTCCATCTCAAAAAAATAAAAATAAAAAGTCCCCGAGGGATTATAAAATACTTGAAGCCCCTGTTGTGGATGCCGTCGACTGCCTGCCTACTGACCCTTCACAGGCTGGTGCACCCACTCCCCCGGCTGCTGTGAGTGCTGCCTACAATAGCTCATAGCTCCCAGCTTCCCCTTCTCCTTACCTGAGCAACTGTGCAAACCCTCAGACCCAGCCCACAGCCATCACGGATGGTCACAGAGGTGCAGAAGGCCAGCCCGTGCCCTTGGGATGAGATCAACCTGGCGAAGCCAATCACACTCCAGGGCCCCCGTGGGATGCGGCTAAGGCTGGACTCCAGCTGAGACCTCTTTCTTGCTTAGTTCTTTCCCCTGCTCTCTGCCTGATCTTCTCCGTCAAAAACACCTGTGCACAGGAAACCTCACACTTCAAACTCTCCTTTTTTAAATTTTTTTGAGACAGGGTCTTGCTCTGTTGCCCAGGTTGGAGTGCAATAGTGCAATCACAGCTCACTGCAGCCTCAACTGCCTGAGCTTAAGCGATCCTCTCACCTCAGCCTCCTAAGTAGCTGAGACCACAGGCGTACATCATCATGCCCTGATAATTTTTTTTTTTTTTTGTAGATATGAGCTCTTGCTTTATTGCCCAGGCTGGTCTCAACCTCCTGGGCTTAAGCAATCCTCCTGCGTCTGCCTCCCAAAGTGCTGGGACTGCAGGCATGAGCCACCACACTCAGTTCTCTCTTGATGCCAAGTCTGAAATGCACATTCACCTGAAATCCTATGCAACATGTCTGCGTAGATATCACCTCCTCCAGGAAGGCTTCCTTGACTTCCTGTGAGGCTCCTCCTCCACCCTCCCCCACATCACCATAGTCAGTATTATCTATGCTTGCTTAAATGTCTGTTTCCCTCAAAAGATTGGGCATTTTCTCAGGGCAGGGAAAGAATTTCATTGGCTGTTGTATCCTAGAAAATAAAGAAACAAATGAAGAAAAAGAGAGGAAGAGAAATGGATGAATCTACTGACCTTTGCATCCCTTCCTCGCTGCCCCAGAAAGACCACGATTCTTGAGTGGGTGAGAAATGAACAGCAGCTGCCCTTTTGCTGGAGGAAAGAACCAGGGTTTCTAAGAGGGAGGTAGATGCAATGACTTCATCGTCCTTCAAAGACTTCATGATTTATATACGGCCCCTAAGGCTCTTTCTTTAAAGGTAGGGGTGGTTTATCAGGAGTCCCCAAGACCCCCCTCCCCAAGCTCAATGATTCTCTAAGAAGACTCAGCATATAGTCATGCTAATGGCCATGAATTATTACCGTGAAAGGATACAGAGCAAAAAGTCAGACGAGGGAGCTGCATGTGGTGGCTCACCCCTATAATCCCAGCACTTTGGAAGGCTGAGGTGGATCGCTTGAGGTCAGGAGTTTGAGACCAGCCTGGCCAACATGGTGAAACCACGTCTCTACTAAAAATACAACAATTAGCTGGGCGTGGTGGTGGGAGCCTGTAATCCCAGCTACTCAGGAAGCTGAGGCAAGAGAATCGTTTGAACCTGGGAGGCAGAGGGTGCAGTGAGCTGAGATCATTCCACTGCACTCCAGCCTAAGCGACAAAAGTGAAACTCCATCAAAAAAAAAAAAAAAAAAAAAAAAGAGGGAAAAAATATGCGAGTTGAAGTCCACAAGAGACCAGGCAAGCACCCTGGGTCCCCTCCCAGCGGAGTCATGATTTAATTCATTAAGTAATTAATTCCACTTGCTCTTGCTCTGCCTGCGTCAACAGGTGTGAAATGTTGTCTACCAGGGACACTCATTAGAGATTCAGCACCTGAGGTTTCTTCCCAGAACGAAAGCAGGTCAGCTGCGCATGGCAGCTCAAGCCTGTAATCCCAGCACTTCAGGAGGCTGAGGCAGGTGGATCACTTGAGGTCAGGAGTTTGAGACCAGCCTGACCAACATGGTAAAACCGTGTCTCTACTAAAAACACAAAAAATTAGTTGGGCGTGGTGGCAGGCACCTGTAATCCCAGTTATAGGGAGACTGAGGCAGGAGACTTGCTTGAACCCGGGAGGCAGGTGTTGTAGTGAGCCGAGATAGCACCATTGCACTCCAGCCTGGGACAAGAGTGAAACTCCGTCTCAAAATAAATGATAAATAGGAGCTAAATAATGTGTGCACATGGATGTAGAGTGTGGAATAATAGACATTGGAGACTTGAAGGGTAGAAGGGGAGTGAGGGATGAGAGGTACTTTGTAGGTACAATGTACATGACTTGCGTGATGGCTACACTGTGAGCCCAGACTTCACCACTAAGCAATACATTCATGTACCACAACTGCCCTTGTACCCCATACGTTCATGCACATTTTTGAAAAAAGAAAGAAAAGAAGCCAGACACAAAGGTGGAATAAACTAAAATGATCCTGTATTATTCAAGTTCCCCAGAGAAACAACACTAAGAGGAAAGACAGAGAGAGGCAGACAGAGTCAGGGAGAGGGAGAGAGAGAGAGATTTTAAGGAATTGGTTCACAGGATTGCAGGGGTTACAAGCCTGTAATCCCTAGGGCAATCTGACAGGCTGGAGATTCAGGTAAGAGGTGATGCTGCAATCTTGAGCCCAAAAGCTTAAATGCAGGTAGAATTTCTTTCTTTTTTAAAATTTCTTTTATTGATTTATTTAGTTATTGAGACGGAGTCTCACTTTATCACCCAGACTGGAATGCAGTGGCGCGATCTCAGCTCACTGCAACCTCTGCCTCCCAGGTTCAAGCGATTCTCCTGCCTCAGTCTCCCAAGTAGCTGGAATTACAGGCATATGCCACCAGGCCTGGCTAATTTTTGTATTTTTAGTAGAGACAGGGTTTCGCCATGTTGGCCAGGTTGGTTTTGAACTCCTGACCTCAGGTGATCCCCCAGCCTCGGTCTCCCAAAGTGCTGGGATTATAGGCATGAGCCACTGCGCCCAGCCTTGTTTCTTTTTTTATAATTTCTAAATTTTTTGTTTTTAGTTCTGGGGTACATGTGCAGGATGTGCAGGTTTGTTACACAGGTAGGCATGTGCCATCGTGGTTTGCTGCATGTAACAACCCACCACCTAGGTAGTAAGCCCAGCGCGCATCAGCTATTTTTCCTAACACTCTCCTTCTCCCAACCCACCCCTGCAGCCAGTGTGTGTTGTTCCCCTCCCTGTGCCCATGCGTTCTCATTGTTCAGCTCCCAATCGTAAGTGAGAACACAGTGTTTGGTTTTCTGTTCTTGCCTCAGTTTGTTGAGGATGATGGCTTCCAGCTTTATCCATGTCCCTGAAAAGGACATGATCTCATTCCTTTTTATGGCTGCATAGTATTCCATGGTATATATGTACCACATTTTCATGTTAAAATATTCCTTAATGAGCTAGCAATTGTTTATGTGGGGGAGTGTCCGGAAAACAGGTTCCTGACTGAATTATCCCTGTCCTTGATTACAGAGCTTCAGGAATTACACATATCACACGATTGTGTGGAGTAGCTGCTGAAGGTCTATGACGCTGCGAGCTTGGAGGCGCTTCTCCCTGCCTGTTAGGCTGCTCCCGTCGTGTCACCACAGGATGGATGTTATTTTTCTCTTTTGAATTAAATCTTTACAACAGTTCGAATGCTCTTTCCAGAATGCATCAGTTCAAAGGCTTTGTTAATTTCATCAAAAGACAGATTGTGAGTCACAAAGTCGTCAACTTTTATCTTTTTGGACATATATTCAGACACCAACTTTGGGGCATTTTCTGCACTCTTCCATCCTCCGAAGGCAGTGCCGTTCCATGTGCCACCTGTTACCAGCTGTAATGGACGATTGGCAATTTCTCCACCTGAAGCAGCTACTCCAAATCACCACGCTGACGCCTCAGCCCTTGTGACATGCCTCAAGTGCTGCTCTCATGACCTTCCTATTACCAATACATCCAAAGGAATAGTCCACTTCTCCATCAGTCATCTCAGTGGGCACTTCCTGGATAGGCCTACTAAAATCCTAAGGGTTAATACATTCAGTGGCTCCCAACTCTTTGGCCCTTGTTCATTTATCTTTACTGATGTCCACACCAATGATCTGGGATGCACCAGCCACCTTGCAGCCCACTATAACTGCCAATCCAACTCCTCCCAGGCCAAAGACAGCACAAGCAGAGCCAGACTCCACCTTGGCAGTGTGCACAGCAGCACCATAACCAGTTGAGATGCCACAACCTAGAAGGCACACTTTATCCAAAGGTGCCAAAGGATCTATTTTAGCAGCAGAGATATCAGCCACAACTGTGTATTCAGAAGATGTGCCGGTTCCCATGTAATGTAAAATCGTCTTTCCTTTGCAAGTAAATCCGCCGGTACCATCTGGCACGAATCCTTTCCCTGGAGTGACTCTTACCTTCTGGCAAAGGTTAGTTTTAGGATTTAGACAAAATTTCATTGTCCACACTGTGGGATGTAAAGTGGGATGACAGTGTCACCTGCCTTCAGCTTAGGAACTCTCCCGCCAACACTTTCCACAATTCCAGCACCTTCATGTCCCAAGATCACTGGAAAACAACCCTCAGAATCACCTCCGCTCAGAGTATAGGCGTCGGTGTGGCAAACTGCAGTGGCAATGATCTTGATTTGAACTTCATGAGCCTTTGGGGGTTCCACCTCTATCTCCTTTAAGGAGAGAGGCTTTCCAGCCTCCCAGGCAACTGTAGCCTTGCACTTGATAACCTGGTTTGCCATGACCACAGGTTTTGGTCAGCGTCTGTACCATATTTTCTTAATCCAGTCTGTCATTGACAGGCATTTGGGCGGATTCCATGTCCTTGCTATTGTCAATGATGCTGCAATGAACATACGTATGCATGTCTCTTTGTAACCGCCTGATTTATATTCCTTTGGTTATATACGCAGTAATGGGATTGCTGGGTCAAATGGTATTTCTGGTTCTAGATCTCTGAGGAATTGCCACACCATCTTCTACAATGGTTGAACTAATTTACTTCCGCACCCACAGTGTAAAAGCGTTCCTATTTCTCTGCAACCTTGTCAGCGTCTGTTGTTTCTTGACATTTTAATAATGTCATTCTGACTCAGCATGAGGTGGTATCTCATTGTGGCTTTGATTTGCATTTCTCCATTGATCATCGATGTTGAGCTTGTTTTCATATGTTTGTTGACTGCCTGAATGTCTTCTTTTGAGACGTGTCTGTCCATGTCTTTTGCCCACTTTTCAGTCGGGTTGTTTGTTTTTTCTTGCAAATTTGGGTTACTTGTAGATTCTGGGTATTCGACCTTTGTCAGACGGATAAATTGCAAAGATTTTCTCCCACTCTGTAGGTTGGCTGTTTACTCTTTTTATTTTTGTTTTCTTGTTTTTGAGATGGAGTCTCGCTCTGTCGCCCAGGCTGGAGTGCAGTGGCACAATCTCAGCTCACTGCAACCTCCACCTCCTGGACTCAAGCAATTCTCCTGCCTCAGCCTTCCCAATAGCTGGGACTACAGGTGCATGCCACCACGCCTGGCTAATTTTTGTATTTTTACCAGAGACAGGGTTTCACCATGTTGGCCAGGCTGGTCTGGAACTACTGACCTTGTGATCTACTCGCCCCAGCCTCCCAAAGTGCTGGGATTACAGGTGTGAGCCACCAGGCCCAGCTGTTGCCTGTTCACTCTGATGACAGTTTCTTTTGCTGTGTAGAAGCTCTTTAGTTAGAGCTCATTGGTCAATTTTTGCTTTTGTTGCAATTCACAGGCAAAATTTCTCTCTGTGTTAAGGTCTGGAGGCAGAATTCCTTCTTCTTTGGGAATCCTGTCTTCGCTCCTAAGAAACTCAACTGATTAGAAGTGGCCCACTCACATTACAGAGAGTCATCTAATTTACTGAAAGTCAACCGACTATAAACATTAATCTTAGCTAGAAAATATCTTCCCACAGTCTAGACAAGTTGACACATAAAATGAACCACTCTAAGCCTATGTGTTTGAAATTCTAGAAAATACAAACCACATATGGTTAGGGATAGAGAAAGCAAGTCACTGGTTTCCTAGGGCCAGGGGTGGAGGGAGGGATGAATTACAAGAGGGTCTGAGGGGATTTAAGGGGATGATAGAAATTATATATATGTGTGTGTATGTGTGTGTGATATTGTTTTTGAGATGGAGTCTTGCTTCGTCACCCAGGCTGGAGTGCAGTGGCCCAGTCTCAGCTCACTATAGCCTCCACCTCCTTGGGTTCAAGCTATTCTCCTGCCTCAGCCTCCCAAGTAGCTGGGATTGCAGGCATGCACCGCCACATCCAGCTAATTTTTGTATTTTTAGTAGAGACAGGTTTTCACCACGTTGGCCAGGATGGTCTCAATCTCTTGACCTCGTGATCCGCCCACCTTGGTCTCCAAAAGTGCTGGGATTACAGGCATGAGCCACCACACCCAGCCATGACATTTGTTTTGAGAAATGTGATCTCTTAAATTTGTTTTGATATAGAGTTGATCTCTTGCACGATGATAAACATATATGACCTCATTAACCTTAGCAACAATCTAACTGTATACTTCCTTAAACACTAAAATAAAGTAACAAAAACTGGTGCAAGTTTTGTTTCCTAACTGCAGGCTGCTGATAAGAAATATTGTCTTTGAGAAATCTTTCCCCAGTGCTGGTTAGAGCTCAGGGGACAGGCTCATGAATTTAAACAGTGTGCAGCTGTGTGTTTATCCACCCCCCTTGCAAGGGGTACGTAAAGTCTACAAGCATTGCTATGCACAGACTCTCTCTCTGCAAATTTCTGCAAGAGTTTCTGGCCAAGCTTCAAGCCAGTTCCCCAAATTGTTTCATTTATCACTGCATCACACAGGAGGCAGAAGAACCAGCTAGAGGAAGTGATTCTCTGCACTGTCTTTGAACATTACCAGAAAAGATCCAGAAGAACATGTAGAAGTGCAAAATGACTGAAGACAAAAATAATAAATCAGCATGTTCATCCCCAGTGATAGGGCCCCTGAGACCAGGCAGACGGGGAGCTGAATTGGAAGCAAGCGGGTCTCACAGAATCGAGAGAAAGAAAATGGATCTCCAGGCCTAAGCCTCTGAGAAGGTAGAGGGCTCCGGGAAGTGGAAGAATTGTACAAAGATACAGCCTAAATAAGGGGCAGTAGGTTGGACGCGGTGGCTCACATCTGTAATTCCAGCACTTTGGGAAGCTGAGGCAGGCGGATCACGAGGTCAGGAGTTTGAGATCAGCCTGACCAATAAGGTGACACATTATCTTTACTAAATTTACAAAAATTAGCTGGGCGTGGTGGCAGGTGCCTGTAGTCCCAGCTACTCCGGAGGCTGAGGCAGGAAAATTGCTTGAACCCGGAAGGCAGAGGTTGCAGTGAGCCAAGATCCTGCCACTGCACTCCAGCCTGGGCGACAGAGTGAGACTCCATCTCAAATAAATAAATAATAAATAAAAATACAGGGCAATATATTCTGTTTAGTCACGGAACGGGCTTTTCTGGCAGACAGACCTAGTTTTGCCGTATTGGTCTGATAGGAATACCATAACAGAGTACGGCAGACTGGGTGACGGTTGTTATTTGTTTTTCATTGCTTTTGTTTTGAGATGGGAGTCTTTCTCTGTTGCCCAGGCTGGACGACAATGGACCATCATAGTTCACTGTAGCCTCAGCCTCCTGGGCTCCAGCGATCCTCTTACCTTAGCCTCCAGAGAAGCTAAGAATACAGGCACAAGCCACCACGCCCAGCTAATTTTTAAATGTTTTGAAGAGATGGGATCTCCGTATGTTGAACAGACTAGTCTTGAACTCCTGAGCTCAAACGATCCTCCCAGCTTGGCCTCCCAAAGTGCTGGGATTACAGGTCTGAGCCACTGCCTGTGGCCCAGATTGGGTGCCTTAAACAACAGAAATTTTTCTCAATGTTCTGGAGGCTGGAAGTCCTAGGTCAGGTGTTGGCAGGGTTAGTTATCCTGAGGCCCCTCTCCTGGCTTGTAGCCAGCCACCTTCTCCCTGTGTCCTCACACGGTCATCCCTCTGTGCGTGCCTGTGTCCTAATCTCCTCTCTTTTTTTTAGATGGAGTCTCCCTCTGTTGCCAGGCTGGAGTGCATTGGCACAATCTCAGCTCACTGCAACCTCTGCCTACTGGGTTCAAGCCATGCCCCTGCCTCAGCCTCCCAAGTAGCTGGGACTATAGTTGGGCACCATCACACCTGGCTAATTTTTGTATTTTTAGTAGAGATGGGGTCTCACCATGGTGGCCAGGCTGGTCTCGAACTCCTGACCTCAACTGATCCACCCACCTCGGCCTCCCCAAGTGCTGGGATTACAGGTGTGAGCGACCACGCCCAGACCTAATCTCCTCTTCTTAGAAGGACCTCAGTCATACTGGATAAAGGCTCGCTCATATGACCTCATTTTAACTTAATTGCCTTTTTTGAAGACTCTAAATTTAAGTGTTAAGTCTCTAGACTTAGTCACATTCGGGGTACTGAAGGTTAGGACTTCAACAGGAATTTTGCAGCGGGCACAAAACACAGTCCTGTCCCTAAATTCACATACCAGCTTCAACTGCTTACTGTGTGCCCTTAACATGTGACCTCCTTAGCCTCTCTGATCCCCATTTTTCTCATCCACTTATAAACCAAAAATAAAATTCTGAGGCCACCCCCCTCCAATCATCAGACTGGATCCCTCCTCTCAGCCAAGGGCATTCCAAAGTTCACCTGAAAAACATCAGGCCATGATGGGAAGGGAGGGTCAGAAATGCCTCATTATTCCCACCTCCCTTTTGGAATTCAGGAAAAGATGACCAGCTCTAACTTCAACACAGAGTTTACATCTGATAAGAAATATTTACAGCCTGTTCTCTCTAAAGCCTGCTACCTGGAAGCTTCATCTACATAATAAAACTCTGGTCTCCACAACACCTTATTATCATAACCTACACATTCCTTTCTATTCATTCCAGGTCCTCAGATAAGAACTTAAGTCTTTTGCCTGGGTGAGGGGGCTCTCACCTGTAATCCCAGAACTTTGGGAGGCTGAGGTGGGCAGATCATGAGGTCAGGAGTTTGAGGCCAGCCTGGCCAACATGGTGAAACCCTGTCACTACTAAAAATACAAAAAGTAGCCGGGCATGCCAATTGCCAATCAGAAATTTTCTTTTCTTTTTTTGAGACGGAGTCTCATACTGCCACCCTGGCTGAAGTGTAGTGGCATGATCTTGGCTCATTGCAACCTCTGCCTCCTGGGTTCAAATGATTCTCCTGCCTCAGCCTCCTGAGTAGCTGGGATTACAGGTGCCTGCCACCACGTCCGGCTACTTTTTTTGTATTTTCAGTACAGATGAGGTTTCACTATGTTGGTCAGGCTGGTCTCGAACTCCTGACCTCATGATCCACCCGCCTCGGCCTCCCAAAGTGCTGGGATTACAGGCTTGAGCCACCACGCCCAGCCACCAATCAGAAAATCTTTAAAACTACCTATAACCTGGAAACTCCCCACTTCGAGTTGTACTTTCTTTCCAGATGAAACTAATGTGTGTCTTACAGGTATTGATTGATGTCTCCCTAAAAGGTAGAAAAGCAAGCTGTACCCCAGCCACCTTGGGTACATGTCTTCAGGATTTCCTGAGGCTGTGTCACAAGCAGAGCCTTAACCTTGGCGGAGTAAACTTTCTAAATTGACCTGTCTCAGATAATTTGGGGTTCATGTACTCAAAAATAGATATTGACAACCAAACGGGGTGGCTGAAGACAGGCGTTCCAATCCATTGAGATTTATTGAGCCAGCCTGAGGGTGCACCCAGGAAAAACCGACTCACC